ACACAATTTTAATTTGCTTGAGTGAAAATTAGAAATTCTTACACATGGCTCGGCAGCATATAAAATTATTGTTGGCACAATTTGCGGAGTCATAAAGTTGGGCAAATAACCAAGGCAAACTGCACTCTGTAATCGTCTACGGCTGCTTTTCAGCTTTGCTCAACTCAATTTTGCCATTTGCCAAACAGAAGAGAATGATTGTGGAGCGCTTTGGAGGCGACGGCATTTGGCCGGGCATTATAATTATATATAAAGAACTGTATGCGCTTTTCACACACAAAAAAAATAATAAAAGTAAAAGCAAGTTTACCTTTTTGTTGTGCCTGTTTATGACAGCTCACACACACACAAAGGAAGTCTCTCTCATTCTTTCTCTGCCTTTGTGTGGAAGGAAGTCTCTCTCTCTCTCTCTCTGTATGTGTGTGCCCGACAAGCAACACTTGCAAGTTTTACGATTTTCAAATGATGTACGTACAAATTCATAGAATTTTATATTTTACAGCGCCCAAAAGTATGCAGCGGCACATACCTGTGCATGTCTATGTGTGTGGGCGTGCGTGTGTGTGTACGTGTGTTACAGTTTTTAGTTGTTAAGTGAGGTATGTGCTCGTGTGTTTGTGTCTGTGGGTGTAATTTTTCATTATTTGCCGCACACGCCCGCCGCGCGCTGTTTCCGCCTCGCATTCATCATATTTTCCGCTGGAACTTTATGCTGCCCGACGGGTGCACACAATAGTACGTACGTCCATCAGTTGGAATGAGTTTTGATGTCGAGCATCATATAAGCAATTAAAACTCTGTACCGCATTTAATGCAAATTTGCTTTACCGGACTGATAAATTACCAATGTTACTTGGTCCAGCCGTGCAGCGGGAAAAACAAAAAGAGAATGAAAGTCCATCAGGCCACATGACAGCTTCATTACCAGCAAAATTCACATGGATCGAGCAGGCCGGCGAAAACTTTTTAATTTAGTTTGACAAAGAAAATTATAGACCGAAATCATCATCAGCGTCAGGTGCTTCGCTATGACTACGGCAAATATATGCATGTGATTTGGCAGCAAAACTTTTTTCTTGCCTATTTTCTGCGCACTCACTCACACTAAATGCAAATTTTCTAATTTGATTTTGTGCTTGCGTAGCTACCTTTTTCTGCTTCTTCCCGCTGTTTCATTGTTTTTTTTTTGTTTGTTTTTTTTTTCTATTTCTTGTTACTTTTAGGCCGTGGCCATAAAATGGGCATCAATACAGGCAGCATTTAGATATTGCATACTCTATATTATATATTCGCTTGTGCCTGTGCCTAAGCTGAAGTCTTTTGTCAAGCCGAAAGTTAAATTTGAAGGCTTTAATAATAGCATTTGCTTTTGGAGTGCAGGCTTAATAAGAGCTTAAACAATTTGCACTATATATTGAATGTAGCTTAATCCTCATAGCGAACTTTTTGATATAAAACTGATTTGATAATTTCTGCAACTTTTCACATATTGAAACTCTCAACATATTACATCATTTTCCTCTGCTTAGAAAGAGCATTAGCTAGTCGTTTTGTTCCACTGTGCATCTGCTTAAAATCTTCCTTTTTGTTCCCTCACTTTCGGTTATTTTTGTGTTCTGCAACCGCAGAAAATTAATCAAGCAAAAAACACATTTTGTTACGCAACAGCGCCAAGAGCGGGCAATGCTTGAGCAATACCTTTCGCAACAATTTGAAAATTGAATTTATGTTTTTCTTACGGCGCACAATAGAGCGAACGAGCGCAGCAACAGCAGGCGGCACTTATCGAATTTGATGTAGTCATAAAAGAACTCTGTTCAATTTCATAAATTGAATAATAATTGCACTTAAAACGCCGGAGAGCCTGAGGGCTAGGGGGCGCCAAAGAAATCTGTCCAGCTTATTAGCTTTAATTACCGTTGCAAAAAG